TGAGAAGGTGAAGAAACACTTCCTTTTGTTTGTTTTAAACCTGCTGCCTGTTAATTTCATTTGGTGACCCCTAGCTCTTGTTTTATGAGAAGGTGAAGAAACACTTTCTTATTTACTTTCTCCACACCAGTCATGATTTTATAGCCCTCCATCATATCCCCTCTTAGTCATCTCTTTTCCAAGCTGAAAAGCCCCAGTCTTATTAATCTCTCCTAATTAAAATATTAAAATATTAAAGATAGCTAAAACACATTCAATACTTCCCCAATATTATTTTTCCATATAGCAATGGCTCTAAAATAACAATGATCATCACTAGGATGCAGCGCCGTCTGGATGCTCATGAATAGAAGAGGATGGGTAAAGAGTTTGAGAGGCCCCCCGATAAAATACAGTATTGTACATTAAAAAGACAATCTAAAGTTCCATAACTAACTCCTTTCTTACCTGGTGCTCCTGGAAATCCCATTGATCCTGGAATACCTGGTTGTCCTTTTGACCCACTTAATCCAGGTTGACCTGGACTGCCTGGGAACCCCGGGCTGCCCTTAGGACCTGAGGATTAAAAAAAATTAATTCAGGATGGGGGACACAAGCATATTATTGTGAAGTGGGATTAGATATTTCATGCAAAGCTAACCACAAAATGCCCAACTACTGTACTAATTTAAACTAGTCAACGTCGCCCCAAGTCTGTGATCATCTCATCAACTGAACAAACACAGAGGGACAAGTGTTTTGTTTTGGGGAGCTGCATGACAAGGCAAAAGTTCTCTACACCCCTCATTAACAATGACTTTCACAGTTATGAATAGGAGCTGCACACATATATAGACAGAACAACTGTCAGTAGGAATCAAACCCAGCACCTCCAGGAAGCAAGCCCAAGCCCCACCAACTTGAGCAACAGGAGTAACTATTATTTAGCTCTGATTAAGCAGCAGGATCTCTCCTTGCTGGAGGGCGACTCAACACAGACAATAAGCCAGTGTATTACAGAGCGTATAGAAAAGTCAATCTCCATACCTGGAAATCCTGGTATTCCTGGAGGCCCAGGTGCACCAAACGCTCCAGAATCTACACAGGGCAAGGTGATCCCTAGAAAAAGGAATATGTTGTAACTGTAGTTAGCTGATTATAATGAGAACATTGAATGTCCAGACTAAATTATGAGCAATGATGAGTGAACCTATGCACTGCAAATCACTACATGTAATGCACATTCACATCTGCCACAGGGTAACTCTTCCTCAACAAAATCTATTGCTTTGCAGGACGTTAAGGCTAATGTTGTTGATGTTCTAAGTTTACTGACACTAAACTAAAGAGAGGAAGTCTGGGCTAGTGGCTAGAGCACAAGACTGCAAGTTCAATTTATTTTCTAATCCCAGCCCTGACTGTGACTCACTGTGTGACCGGTTTGCGTCCCCACCTGTAAAATGGTGATGAGAACTGTACATAAGAACTGCTATTTATTATTTGTATTATGGTAATGCTGCAGAGCCCCAGGCAAAGATCAGGGCTGCACTGTGCGTTGCACTGTAAAAACACAGATGGAAAAGACAGTCCCTGCCCCAAGGAGTGTACAGTCTAGGTACTGAGTCAGCTTACGTTGGGGGAACTAGTGGGTGCCCAGAACTTATGAAAACTCAAGTAATCTATTCAATGACAAAAATCAATGTAGGAGACAAAATGTAGGCACCCGTTTTTTAAAATCTTGGCCCTTCTTGACTGTCCCTGTGTTTGTGCTTTCTGCTGGGTCATTCTACAAGTTTACACAGAGTTTTGTGAGGCCATGCATGTATTGTTTTATTTAATTCTGCTTTTTCTCCAACTGATTCTTCTATAGTCCATGAGTCTGAAAAGTAACCACACAGCTTAGTTGTTAGCATACTAAGAGCAAATAGGAATCAGTGGTTGTACAGCTCATCCTTTTCCTTTGTTTGAGAAACAAAAGTATCTAACTTATCAGTGGAATGAGGTCTGGGTGGCATTATTAGAACCATCAGACTATTAAATTTATTTGAAAAATCTCTTATGTCTGCAATGTCCACCTTTGTCAGACTCTGGCAATTTGATACTCCATTGATACAGTATTGCTAAGAACACATGAGTGCTGGCATAATTAACTCGGGGTCCAATCCTGCAGTCCCTTTATATTAAGAAAAAGATCCCACTTTCTTCAATAGGCATTTGCTTAAGTAAAAGGACTGCAGGGTTAGGGCCTACACTATTAGAACAGGCTTGGCCTAAAAACTCCTAGAATAAATTAACCTTCTCAAAACGAAAACCTAAAGGATTTTAAAATATATTTTGTCTGAACTAATGTCACATCAGAACTGATCCTTAGAGTTAGGTTAAGACCATATTTCTGAGAGTGGGGAAAGGGGATTTTTTTCCTGCCCCTCCCATTTTGGAGTCTTTCTGTACAAAAAGTTAAATAGCTAGTTACTACATGATTACTAATACTGGCCCATTAAAATCTGGTGCAATTTTTTCAGCAGGTTCAGCGATTAACCAATCAGAGATTGTGGATTAGCTGCTTCTTGTTTTTTACAACTAATTCTGCAAGAGCTTGCCACCCAATCCCCACTCCCAACCTGATATCCCAGCCCAACTCATGGGCTACAGCACCAGGCACTCCAATTCTCGGCTGCATTTCTGCTGCCACCAGACGTAATGAGTGGACTAGGCATAGTAAATCTAGACCTTTTACTGACAGCGGGGTTGTGAACCTAAGACTTCATTTTGTAAATGACACTGGTATCTTTCAAATAATGGCATTTCTCAGGTGGCTTCTGAGTTTTATTAGTAAAAGACACTGAGACAAAATCATTCCTGGTGTCAAACCAATGAAGACAATAGAGTTACACCAGAGATAATCAATATGGCTCACTTCTGATTTTAATCAACAACAGGAATAGGGAACCCATGGGGGATGAGGCAATGGCCAAAAGAAAGATTAAATTACGTAAGAGATTTTTTTCCATTGATGGGCCAAGAAGGTGGCGTATGGATTCCATTTAGTTTTGAGGCTGAATCAGAGCTATGGTTAGGGTTCAATCAATGGCATCAAAACCTTGTGAGCTTTCTCAAGAGATTTCAGTAAAACTGGAAAAGTCTTGGG